AATACATAGGAAAAAAACTTGTCTCTGCCTTTTGAAGCAGTCATTTAAACCCCCAAGCTTGAAATCATGATAAAAAAGTTCCAAATTGATTAATATGGAAATTACCAAACCATCAAAACTGCTGATGTCGTAAACAAAATTCGTCAACAAAATTCATTGAAAGTAAATTTATTGTTTGTTTTAAAAAAAAAACAACTGTGTAACACGTGCTGCTCATGACATTTTTGAATCTGGTTTGTTGTTCATCTCTTCTCAGGCTTCAGTTTGGCAAGGCTAAACGAGAAACACGGTACAGACACAGTTAGTAAGCACGAGTAAGGAAGCAAAAATAACACGTGTTTACTATTCTCTCAAACCTGAGATGTGCCACCCAAATAGTAGTGAAGTTATAATACCTGAGCATGTTCCTTATATTCTGAAAATGATTACATCTTTAAAAGAGGTATATCTGATTTCAACCAAATGAGGTTTCAGACCAAGTTATCTATTTCCTCTTAACAGAACTTAATAAAACAATGTGGCAGGGGCCAGGGGAATTATTTTGAATGTGTAACTGGAAGATTCTGTTTTAATGGTAATATTGCAAGATTACTCTTGCTTTAGCTTCCCCCAGCAATCAGTTCTTAACTACTACATACAGACTATAGCAAGGAATAAACCTGTAACATAGACAGGTTACTTCTCAGAACCTTCAGTTTCAGGGTACATGCAATTCTCTGACATTCAAATGATAATAGTTCCAATTTTATACCAAAGCAATTTCAAATTGCACTTACTCCAAAGCTTTAAAAAAAAGAAAAGCTCATAATTTTTAATATCTCTTAATATCTGAGAAGGCAGGATTTTATGATCATGTTGATCATTTCTATTTGGCGATGGAAACTAAGACCAAAACATGTGCTTAAAAATGCTCTAGCTTTCCTTTAAAAATGTACATTTAAATCATTATACCTATCTCCCTCATCTAAAATAAATATTGAGTTACCTCTTCACAGACAACCTCATACAATAGCAGAATTCTCAGAAATATTTTATAGTATGAAATTTGAATAGCCACACATCTGAGCCTCAAATATGCACAAAGACTCAAAATTCCAGACCTTCCCCTGCTCTACGGTTCACTTGCAGACTGGTTGCATTCACAAGTTATGTTTACCCGTTTGTAAGCACACTCAGGTTTCTTAGATACAAAGCCAGTTTAATTAAGGCAATGGGAGTTCCTTGTGTGTCAAAGAAGATGCAATATGTACAAGGATAAATTAATACAAACATGCGTCCCTTTGCATTTGTTATTTGATTCCTTATATATTTAAATTTGCGATTTAAAACTTGCATTAAGGCAGCTTTTGCCCTTCATATACTCCATAATTTATATACAGAAGAAGGATTCATAGGAGTCTCAACATTCTTTCCTAGAGCTATTTATCAATAATTAAGTTATTTTTGTGACTACCATTCAGTGTGTGAAATAGAAAACCATGCCATCTGTATATGCCAATGACTAAAAATACCTCCTCAATGGACCATTAACTTCCTTTAGTAAGTTTTTTAAAACATTGTCTTTCTGTTTGGCCCTCATTGTATTTAACAAAAAATGTCAGATAACCTGCAGAAGTAGGAACAGGGTGAGGGTGAGAGTGTGTGTGTGTGTGTGTGTGTGTGTGTGTACGTGTGCATGCATGCATCTGTGTGTACATGCACATGATGAGAGAAACAGGATGGACAGTGGAGGAGTGAGCCTGGTTTTGAAGGAAAACACGACTTTGTCAAGCCGACTAAAGAGAAAAGGCTTATACGCTGACACATTTATCTAGAAAGCTAGACTCCCAAAAGCTAAAGCACCTAACACTTTTCTTTTTGTTATGTGAACCACAAAAGAAAAACAATAATCACAGACACACCACTGCCTAGTCCCTGCCCAGCCCATCATAGCAGCACCTCTTATGAACTATAGAAAGAAACGTTCATGCATATACACCTTTTGATTGAGCTATTTCAAAGCACCACTGTAAGAAAATCACATCCTATTCTCTTCAAAAGAACAAAGAGAAAAGGAAGAAACTAATTTTAAAATTTTACTATCTCCGACTATGTTGTTTTAAAAAGAACAAAACATAAAAAGAATCAACTAGAGGGGTGGTCTCAAATAATCAGATTCAATAGGTATGAAAGACTGTTTAAAAATGTTTTTAAAAATCTAACAACACTTAAATAGTAATGACATATAATAACGCTAGGAAGCCAGAACTGCAAGCCAAAAAAAAAAAAGAAAGAAAGAAAGAAAGAAAAAAACTTCTTTTATGTTTAATAGATAATGCTCAATTCATTTTCAAGGAGCATAGTTTGGCAAACTTTAGTCCTACAGGGCTGAGGCTTGTGATCAGATAGAATGCAGTCACCAGCAAGGGTTCTAGACAAGACACTGGGACTCTGCTCAGTTCTTCCATTCCCCACCATGTGGCAGCATGCTGTTCTCCTGAAAGATAAGTTCTGTTTCCTAGAATTCATAGACTTCCCTGGTGTAAATCCTTTCTCCATGGCTGATCTTTAAGCTACCAGCATGTCATCACTGGACACAGTGCTGGGAAGAGCAGGACAGTAATCACCAGTGTGCAGTATTAACATATGGCCATACAGCAGGTGTAGATCATCTCAGAAGTTGGGATCATAGTATGGTAAAAGTAATTAGAAAATGATGAATTTTGAATATTAATTATTTCTGATTTTTATACGATCTACTTCATTTTAAATAAGGGTTAGGCTTAACAATGATTTGCAAAATTTATAAAAACTGCTCTCATAAATAAATGTGGGCTGACTTTAGCAAACCACTGATTCCAAGTATCCAGAGAAGTTTAGATATCTATGAGTTTCTTACCAGCCATTGTTAAATACTGGAAAAATATTAGCCTCATGCATACTAGGCAAACACTCTACCTCTGAGCCACAACGCCAGCCCAAGAGTAAACAGGTTTTTGAAGTTATGAATGGGTCAATTTTTTTTTTACTACAAGGCTGGATTTCTTTACAGATTATAGGTAAAGTTTACGGATTTAGACCTAGAGAAAATATCATATAATGTTCTGCTGGCCATTTAAGAAAAAGAGGGTCAGGAAGTGTTCACCATCCCTTTAAAACAATATACATTTTGCCCACAGCCTACTCCTCTGGCCCCAAATTGTAAGTCTACCATTGAAGTTGCAAATTGCAGACAAAGATGATTTATAATTAATGTAATCCCAAAAGACTGGAAGTTTGTTTACCCATTACATCATATCAAGTCCAGATAAATGTTGGTTGATGAATGAAAACTAACAAGCCATTAGTTTTCAATATGCCTTCAAGAGAGCCCTGGAAATGTGACTATGCTGCATTCTTACAGGAGGTTCCCTTCCATCTATTATTCTCTAATTTAAAGAAGACAGTAGCACAAATTCCTTAAATTTTAATTAATGGACAGCAGCCTTATGTCTGTGCATTGTGTAGGTACTAGTTTCTGAGCTGTCAGATTGCATATATGGAAAGAAAAGCCCCCTGGCTAACACAGGAGCTGAAACAAAGTGGTAGTAAGAGCTATTTCATTCTGTAAATATTTTTGGACATGGAATATAATGAAGAAAGATGATTTGACTGAAAATGGATTTGGAAGGAGCAGTATATAAACAAGAAAAAGTCTAATGAAGAACGATGAAGATACCACTGCTCTGAATCTTCGGGGAGAGAAATGAATCCTATTTTAAACTAAAGATAATACTGTGAACAGGCTAGATTTTTGTTTAATGTGAATCTATAGTTTCCTTCTTCCATGCACTTGACTTAAATACATCTACAGAACACAACTGCTGTGTTGCGTAACCTTTCAGCTGAGCCCTGATTCCTCAACTTTCCAGACCTGACCTATCTATAACACCCTGAGTTATTGAGGTCAACCTAAGGATCGTAAATCAGAGAATTCCATGAAAATAAAAACTCTTGTTCACATTTTGCAATTAAAAACAAGTTAAAAGAATGTAGGATATCTACTTTTTGAGAAGTCAAGAGGCTGTGTTGTATGTTTTCAATTTTAAACCATCATCTTGATATGTTTAGGGCTTTAATTTATGGAACAATCAAGCAATCTTTATATTTAACATTAAATGCCTGAATATTATAAATCACCTTAGATGAACATTTATGGGGGAGTTTCAGTGAAACTTCTGAACAACTTGTCACTTTTATTGTATAGCAATGATTTGTAAAAAATGATATGCTAAGTAATCCCAGAGTATAATTTAGGGACACAAAAACAACTGTCAAGAAACAGGCAGAAACTACATTTAATGAAATCTTTACAGACTAAAGTAATAAGTATTAAATTAATCAACACAGCTTAATTGAAGCTCTATCTGTAACGTTTTTTATTACACTTGTTATTAATGAACCTTTAAATGCTACCACTAACTTGAGCTCTGTGTTAAATTTAAATAATGAACCATTGTTCCCACACACAAAAAAAGAACAAACACTGCTTTAATAGCCCTTTGTTTCAATGGGCCTCTTCCTCTTGTACAGAGTGAAGACACAGAGGACTCCCTCTTTCTTCTCCAGGGTTATTTACATGGTTGGCAAGATATCAATGTTGAAGGCTGCTGAAATAACTAAAGCAAAATCCTTAAAAAAAAAATAGAAACGCAGCAGCTAAGACTGGAAATGATAAAAGAATTTCGGTTGACTTCAAAGATACTGTTTTCAAATCTGTGCTTCTTGTGTTTTTTATTTAAACCTCACAGTCATATACAGTCATGTGACACCTAACATTTTGGTAAACCACAGACCACACATATAACAGCATATACCACATAGCCGAGCATGCGGTAGGCTATACCACATAAGTTCCAAGATGTTTGCACAATGATGAAACCACCACTTCTGAGATGCATTTCTCAGAAGGTATCCTTACTGTAAAGTGGCACATGACTGTATATCTAAGGGTGCTCTGGTTGATGGTGGTAAAGACTTACCTGAACATGTCTCCCAAACCCTTCAGCATTCCCTTCTTGGCTTTCATTTTATCCTTTTCCTTTTCTCTATCTTTTTTCTTCTCTTTTCCAGTTTTGTCCTTTTTCCTATCAGTCTTGTCCCCTTTTTCTTGGTTCCCATTCATTTGTCTTTCCAGAGAGTGCGAAGGCTGATCACTGGCTGTGGAAACCGATTCTCTCCCTGATCGTGAACTTTCTTCTGTGTCTTCTTCCACTGGACAGAAAAATAAAATAAAGATAAGGAATATGGTGAATCACAGCCACAAAAATAAGTAGGCAAAAATGTTTGAGAACTTTACTTTCCCACATTTTCTACAGCAAAATGGTTTCAGCCCTCAACTTAGATTGCAACACTATTTAATGTTGAGTAGAATTAGAAGGAAATATGGATTAGTCCCATGCACACATGTCTGTTACATATAGAGGACGCACCAATAGCAAGACAGAAGCAGCTTCCTGGCTAGATAGCTAGATGGTTCTGTATGCACAGTAACACCCTGGTTGCTACACAGCATGTAGCAGGGGAGGACTTCAACCCTCCTTACACAGCACAGACCTCTCAGGGTCTTTGCACTAATAGTGGCAAGATGAAAAGAAAGAAAGAAAGAAAGTTTCCTTCCCCAAGTGCTTCCTTTCTTCTCAATTAAAGCAGTGTAGACACATCCTGGTCCTTCATTAATTTGGAAAAGCACACTATTGTTAGCACAGGATTTCTTTCCTCAGGCTTCCAAACAGTTCCATTTATGATTTCTAGACACCAAGCAGTGAATTTTTTGGTTCATAACAACCACAGATCCTCAAGGCCTCTGTAACATTTCTTTATATTGTTATTGCTAACATCATTAGTAAATGCTACTATATGTACTACAGGTTCTAATTCTCAATAATTTTGCATGGTTATCTGCATAAGGGCAGCTAAAAAGAAGGGGATGAAGCCATGAAAATCAATAAATCAATATCCCTCACTTCTTCATATTTTGCAGATAAAAGCTATAGTGATAACAATGTTCTTCTCTTTAGCCCATATTTTAAACATATGAAACAAGGGCAGTTCAAACTTTTTACATTTGAAAAAAGTGGCAAATAACTGAAGTAGGTTCCTACCTACTGAAAGAACTTTAAGAATTTCTCTACCAATATGATTTGGGAAACGATATTGCCCAAATCATATTGTTTTATTGTGTATATGTATGAGTATGTATGAATGAATACCACCATTATATATATATATATACATATATATATAATTATAATGCACCCATACAAGTATGAAATATGTGAAAAGCATAGATGCATATAGTAACAGTCATTCTCAGCAATCTTTTCTGAGATTGGCTGCCTAAGATTATTTTCTAAATACATTAAGAACTATGGCATCTTCATTACTTCTTGAATTCCAAGGTCATTTTTTTTGCAGCATCAACAAATAAATCACAACTCACTTTGAGTTTCTAATAACACAGAATCAAATAGGACAGTGAGGACTTTATCTCAAACTTTTGCAAGGACCTAACCTTAATATCTCATCAAGTGAAATTTGGTCTTGCCTTTCAACCAACCGAGGAGCACTTGAATTACCAAAACAAAGTATTAAGGGAATCGAACTAGCTAACATAGATCCAATATTTTTGTTTTCTGCTATTAAACCCTCACAAATCTAAGATTATCAGCTGATAGCACAGTCATGGCCAAGTAGTATAGTTTTGTTTTTTTTAAAAAGATGTGCGCTACTTTAGAATAACATAAAAAACAAAGGTGTACTATTCTTTTGCTTGACACATTTGGTTAAAAACATGAGCCAACATATTTTCTATCCCAGCAGGTCATGCCCTGTGTACAGCCAAAAAGTAAAAACATCACTGTGTCTAAATCTGGAAGGTTCTTTGGAGGTCATTTAAACCAACCTCTTTCATTTGGCAGCAGCACTTTCACAGTCTGGGACTACTGTATCTACTATGATATCACTGTACATTTGTACAGTGCAAGACCTTCATGCATTTCTTAGATCAACTCTGTGTGTGCCTGCTCAATTCCATGCTTCATACAGCATGTATTTGAGTGATCTATCATCCAGTCACTAGACAGTCTGCCCAAAAGATAATTCCAGGAGTCAGCACTGCATTTCAAAAACCTGTTGCCAATCCCATGTGGACATTTAATGCTGTGACTTGTGGCTCTATTCACGAACTTATTCAGGAAGCTAGATCTAATGAGCACAGGACTATAGGCCAGCTATCTAACCCATATTGATGACTTTGGTCTTCCCTTATACTGGGGGATCTAATATGAGTCACCCTCCTCCAAAGGGCATGATGGCTGTTGGAAAATTTGCTTCTTTTCCTTTCTATCAATTAATATATAAAAAGTAATTGTGCAAGTTTGGCAGAGGAAGGCAGTTACTACTTTCAGATGGACCCAGTGAAAATACATACACTGAATTAAGGCAGTAATTATTTCTGGTATACACAGAGTAGGCAAAGAAAATCTGGACCAATTGACCCAAGGGCTTGCCAATTATGTGTAGTCTTTTCAAAGGAGAGTTCCCCCAAGAAAATTCAAATATACTTTAAGCAGGGTTGCAGCATCCTGCCTAATACCCTCAAGCTTGGCTGTGTTCTATTTGCCTACTGTCCACTACTTCAATCCTATTTGGGTATCCCCAAATTCAAAATAATTGACCAAATCACTATAAAGCTGAAAAACTGAGGCCTATTACTATACTCAAGTGAGCTAAATGTGTGTCAGTCAATGTTCTATAACTCCTACAGAGAAGCCACCTTTTGCTTATATTCCTAGAGCTCTTTGTACAATTTTTTTATTATTGCACTTCTCATCTATGTCTGTTTCCTATTCTCCAGACTCTAGAAATGAGATATAATAGGTGGACAGCAGCTGCAAATAAATGCCCACAGAACTAAAAAGTGACTAGTAAAATCTGGACAGTGCCCTTTCCCAACCAAAGTTTTGTCAGATTTCTGAATATCATCATTTCTCTATCTTCAGGAAAATGCCCCCTCTCCCATAATCAAGCCTAACAAGGCTACCTCAACCCAACTACAGCAACACCAGGAACATCCATTGTAGGCAGTGAAATTCCAATTGGTTTCTGGTATATTTTTATGCTACTATTGTTAGTACTATACATATCCTCTAATGGATTTTACAATCCTCTACAATGTCTGAAACTATAAACAAAAAAACGAGCTCAATAAATGTAAATGACTTAGTCTTCCACAGCAACCATTATCATAAATCATGAATGGAAGTATCAGTAGCGATTCTGTTAGTTTTCTGCCTAATAGTTTTGGCAGGAGTTCAAGGGGCATATGTCTGCTCTTGGCTCCCTAACAGAATAAATGCAGTGCCTTCACAACTCACTATATGCTGAAGTCATGTTTGTTGCCAATTCTTTTCATATTCACAATAATTTTCTAGTATATGTAATGCAACTTATTTTCTAAATTGGGTGAAATAGAAAAAGTATTAAATCATTTATTAACTTTGTGTTTTGTAACCACATTTTAAATGAAAACTCCTACCTCACTTTACTGCCTGAAGCAAGTGGACTGTTTAAAATGATACTTGCACATTTGAGGATTCTTTATGCTTGTTCTAATTTAGATAATACATTATCACAGAAACTCTACTGGGGGGGGCATGTACTGATCTAACTAATTCCTATGAATGCCAACTAATTAAAAATATTTAGCAATATGGAGTTTCATATGTACAAACATAAGATGTTCTTTTATACTATCACATTATATATGCTTCAAACTCAGAAATTATTTGATAGAGAAAAATAAGAATCATTTACGTAAAACTGCTCTGGCTTTTTAAAAGCTCAAATAAATTGGTTACATGTGTTTAATAAATATATATATATACTTTTAAAGTCACTTATAAGCTAGTCAGAATCTAAGTTTCAAAACCAATCTTTGTACATTTAATACTATCTTTATAATGAGGGCCATAAAATATTCTTATTCCCTTAAGTAAAAAAAAATATTCATGTAAACAATTTTTCAACTAAGAAAAGTACCAGTAATATATCAGCAGTAAATGACTTGATCTATTGTGTTCATACATTAAATTACAATGCAAGAACTAATCATAAACTTACATTTGGATAATTTACTATTTTAAATGCTATATATAAATTTTGATGTTTTCCACTTTAATTTTGTTCATCTTTACAGATTATTTGCTTTCCTTTTGCAGACACCATGAACAAAGAAAGATGATTATCTCCTTCCAAACAAATAGAAATGTCTATTTTTGACAACATTTCTGCCTGTTTTAACCTGCTCTGTGCACTGAACTCTCAGCTACTTTCCCATGTGATTACCTATAAAGACAGATATTTTCAAGTTTCTTTTTTTAAAGAAGGTAAAGTGTGAAGCTGCTTATTTCTCTTTCATGCAGTGCAGTCATTCTGCAATTAAGACATACCTAATTATCATGTTTTCAACAGATGCAAATCTAGCTCAATTAAAATTCTAGTCCATGTTACAAATTAAGCTACTCAATTCTGAAAGGTATCATGTTAGGACTGGGCCTCCAAGAAATTTGGAAGATTGGGCACTTAGGTATTAATGATTATGCAAAAAATGGTATTGGGTTTCAAGTGAAGTTCGACAGTTTCTTCCATCAATAGAATACATTTATCTAGTCATTCCAAATATTTTACTGTCAAAAAGTTGACTCCAAGCCATAGGGACATTAGTGAGTTCCCCCCATTGAGAAGTGATGCTATCCTTGATACTGTAATGATCTCTGTTGCTTATCCAAATGCATTTCTCCCTTTCTTCTTCCCAGTGGAAGTCTGATTGAGTTCAGGACTGTGACATAGCTCCAGGGGTAAATTCATTAAATTTAAACTAACCAATGGATGTCATCCTCCTATGAACTTGTTAGTCCAAGGGTATTAGAACAAGATTGATCCCAGCAAACTAAATGAACATATTCTATGCTAGCTGCCACAACTTACTTCCTCAATTGGACATGAAAGTAAAAAGTTCTTGACTGCTGAAATTACCAGGCACATGGGTTAAATTAGGAATAGCAGAACAGAGGGGCACAAAAATATTGGGTCTTTGATGACACTGCTGGAATATAAACCCTGATATGCCCAACTCTAAAACTCAGAAGACAATGCATTTCCTTACAGTTTAAGTTCACCTGAGTTAGCTGTGCTACTCAGTGCAGCTGGAA